CAAAAGCTGTATTCAATTATTGTGAAAAACAGACAAATAAATTGGACTTCTTTTGCACTCACCATTTCGCTAAACCGCAGCAAATCAATCTGCAAAAGTCTGTTCACCGACTTACAGAAGGTACTTTCTTGGCATCAAGCACAGAACTACGTTCTTAATTGAAGAATTTAAGATGATTTTAAGAGTGTTTTTCCACTAGTCTTCCACGTCTTGTGAAACTCTCTCCAGTCTGCACCTCTGTGTGGGCTCTCAACCGATTATTTGGTCATCCACTTGTCATGCAAATGTTTGCCGGAATTCACTGCCTCGTGACCAGTGTAGAAATCCATCCACTGGTGGACATTTAGGGGAAGCCCCTTTCTCTGCTTAGGCCCATAAAGCCACTCAGTGAACAAAGCACCTATTGATCGCGCCATGGGGCTATGATTGCACAATCTACCAGTACCCTGTTCCTTTGGATGTTTACCTGACCTGTTGCTCAAGTCTCAAGTTGCGACCTTCGGCTGAGGTCACATGACTGGAGCCCCATAAATTCCCCCAAAGAGGATGCCCAAAATACATGTCTACACATGCAAGGTACATACACAAAGGTTTACGAGAAATAAAAATGGTGAGCCTACGTGACATATTTGATGTTTTGTGTGGTAAGTAGTAGTGGTCAGGTAGTAGCAGATCCAGGATTCTCTGAAGGGGTCTGCCCTGCTGGAGTGTTGAAGTGCAAGATTTTTTCGGGCAGGGGGAGCTGCAGTCAATACATGAAAAGACCACCGGCCTAAGTTGCAGACAAGTAAATAAACTGCCATAGACTCCAGCACTTGACAAATATGCGCTCACTTCCGAAAATTCAGGAAAAATACTCACAACTCTCCAAGGTGATTGAGAGTTGAGACACCCAGCAAGTTTATTTCATCATCTTTCATTTTCTGTTTAAGTTTTTTTTGTGGGGGGAGGGGTTCACCAATGACTTTTGGGAGAAAATTCCACACCAACACGATCGCCCCTAAAAGTAGTCCTGTTAGCCCATCGCCATTTTGGGGGAAAAAATTCCTGTACTGCATTTCAAAATAGAGCAATTGTAGGGCCCAATTTCATCTGAATTTCACAGAAATACGAGCTGGCAGTCCTGTGCAGGGCTGCTACCCCTCTATTTTTACAAACCCTCAAGTTCATGGCCCACAAAATGCTCTAGCAGCAAAAAAATGGAGGGCATGCTAATCATGATTTGGCCGGCGTAGGCAATTTCGGGCCTTTTTACTGGCCTGCCACCCTAAAGCAGTTAGGGGCCTATACTTTAAGATTTGTAATATTGAGTGATTATGTTATTCAGGGCATTTAAACAAAAAATGTATTTTTAGTGTCCTTCCCTTCCCCTCTTCCTTGGATCCATCCTTGAAGAGAACTAAACTATGAAAGATTGGGAGAAGTCTTTTTTGAAATGCATTGCATAAAGGAAAAGCTCACCTGAAACTATCAAAGAAATCGAAACGTTGTTTTTTTACAATAATGTAATATGTGTAGAGTACCAAAGTCTGACGTCAGCTGTCTTTGTTCCGATTCACGCGCTTGTTCGCATGCTGATGTCTTCAAACATTTATGGCGCGTGAACCAGAATACGCGACACACTTCAGTACTGCCATACTGAAATTTGTATCCTTGTGGAGACATTTCTTCGTTCTGGCGTACTAAGCTTTTCGCGCTTGAAAGTACAGTTTCAAAATGCTCTTTATTTTAACCAAAATTAATTTCCTTGGCTGAAATTCGGACTTCCCTTTTCTAAAACTCTATCATTTGCGACAGATCAAGATACCTTGGAAATTCCTAGTTTTTGAGTATATTTCGTGAAAACCTTGTGGAGACGTATTCATCTGTAGAAATTGCCCTGTGGAGACGTATACAATCTTTTGTTCCCTATTGTGTGCATGTCTCCAGAGGGCACGGTGTATCAGATCTCTGTTAACTGTAAACCTTAACTGTGGCTTGTTGTGGCTTGTTGTACCAAGATGTCAATTCTAGAAGTCAGCAGTATTGATGTATTCTAATGGGCTTGCAGTTGTATTCCATTCTGTCTTTCAGTGGTATCTTTGCCTCACACTCTTTCTACACAAGTTTATGTGAACAAATTTATGTGCAAATTCTATTTACACATTTCAGATTTTTAAATTTTTTTTAAAAGTTAACAGATAAGTTACTGCATTCAATCACCGTTGGCAGTGTACCATAAATCACCGTATCCACAAACAGACAACCATATCTGAAGCTTATCCCAGCTCATACAGTAGCAAGACCTATTGTAAGAAAAGGAAAAGCAGAGATTGCCTAGAGCCCATTGTATTCAGGTTTTTTTTTCCCTCTTCCCCCAACACTAAGCTTTCCGACAATAGCCTAGTGGTACAGGTACAGCCTTGCCGCCCAACTGCGAAAAGAAAAGGGCTAAGCTAGCAGACGTAACGATAGTGCAACCACATTGTGTCAAATGTTGTTAAATCAACATTACATGTAAACTTATCCAAACAGCAAACTGAAATACTGGACCCGGGTATTGTCGTGAGAGACGCGTTCCTTTTCCGTCATTTTTGACACGTAGATCTTTTTCACGACCCGTCAGAAGCTCGGAACGCTAAATTTCACACGCTGCTATCTGTTTTTCTTACAAAGTAAAAACAAACATTTGAATACATCAGTTGGTACTTGTTCAAGACCTGGTCGGGACAAAAACCTCAAACACAAACATCTCAAGGTTTTGGAAACATCGGATTTCAATTTTGAAAAGCTTGTCCAATGAACTGTTCCCAACATTTGATTTGTATTTTTCTATTTTTTATTGATAAGATCATGAGTTTTGTTCACACGTGCGAGGGTTTGTTCAAACGTGTCTCAGCAACCATTCGGAACATTTAACGACCGACTGCCTATTTCCCAAGGGGGGGCCAACAGAATCAACTGATTGTTCTGGGTGTTGAGTCGGCACATCTACATGTCATTGCTCAAACTTAAACAAACAAGGGGGAAAAAGCCCTAACCGTCAAATCACAAACATCACGAAGGAGTTTTAGAATCAATTCATTGTGGACCCACGCACAAAATTGTTGACGGACGCAACAAACTTGTTCATATATTTACTCAGAGGAAAATTTTTGTCCATTCTTTTTTCTTTTTGGGGGGTTTTCATGACACTTGATTATGTGTCCGTTTGCACTGGCACGTACAAAAACAACGGGCAGGCAAGTAATGTCGACTAGAATTCAATTTGGGCAAAATTGAAATCTGACTTTCGTATTATTTTGGAATTTTTTTTAAATCATGGTTTTCAATCATCTGTGAAGCTTTCTTACAAAAGGCTGCTTATCAATGCTAACTCCATGGGAATCAAAATGGTAATTATTTTATAAGGGTGGAAGTGGGGGCTTTTAAAACTCTGTCAAGACATTTGTACTCGGATGAAAAGTATTAAACTTAAGTACTTGTAATCATAAAAACAGGTATAGTTGTCAAAAGTTCACAAGTAATTCATTTTCAGATTTAGCATAGATGATGTAATTATTCTTATGCCTTAAGTACAGTTTTGAAATATTCCAAGTTGAATTGGGTTTTTTTTGGGGGGGGGGGGACCAGCAATGTCTCTCAGATCTTAGTTTATGTACATGAATATTTTAAAGTCTAATAAATTATTTATCGTCGTTTCTTTTTTTTTTTTATCTGTGGACATGCTCAAGTGGCTTCTTGCTTCAAGCTAAGGTCGTTCTGGCCAGTTAAGCTTCTGTCGTGAGGGGTTTTTAAGAAACGAAAGAGAAAAAAGAATTCAAGTAGAATACAAATCGTTGACTTGGGGGCACTGACGCTCAGCCGTTGAAATGACCCGGCGACATCAGACCGGAGCAACAAGGCCCAGGCGGAAAAAAAAACAACCAGGGAAAAAAAATTTATCTGAGCAAAATATGGAAATCAGATGCTCATCGCGATGGCAAGGGGGGCTGGGGACGGGAATTGTCGCAAGCAATGAGATGGAACGTCATCAATAGTTTTTGCACCATTGCACTCAGAGGGCTAAGAAATCTCAAAGGATAAGAAAATGACAATGTACAAGTATTTATGCAAATTCTTCACACACGAAAAATCCTTGTTTGTCACGACAGCTTTAAAATCAATCTCAAAATATGTCGTCACTTTTATACTTCAATGCACAGAATATTTAAGCATATTATTTTTGAAATATAAAGTTCACAAATCCTTTCAATGGAGTTAATCCAGTTGACTCGATAAACACTGATTTTTTTTTCGTTCAAACCCCAAGGCTAAGGAATTCATTACCGGCATAAGGCCACAGACAAAGATGCACGGAACACGATGACACCAACACACAGGCGGCAATTTAAAATGGCCTGGGCATGATGCGGATAAAAAAAAAAAAATCCTGTTTCGGAAAGTGATTTATGTTGATGGCAGGGCATTACCGCGAGTAGCATGTCACTTACAACATATGCACAAAATGTACTGTCTGAGTGTTTGGTCAGATACAACAAGTGTCTGCGTATTAGCAGACTTTTGGGGAATGGATCGGCAACACACAATGTTAGCTGTGTAGTGTTTCTGTCATCTTGTGCGTGGTTGTGTGCATTGATTCACTCTTGTTGCTTTTGTCGAGAATTTATTATATCGCGTTCACAATCATCCCTTTCCAGTATATTTTCTTAGGCAAACAATTTCCATGCATATTTGTACAAATAAAAAAAAACGTTGTAAACATGACTAACGACAGTGAAAGGCACCCTGTTCCCTTGAGGTTTGACTTATCAAGCTTTCACTGTAGTTTTAAATTTTGCAATATTTTTGACCGTTTACTTGTAAATTGATAACAGTGCTCATGATTACGGATGAAAATCTAATAAAAAATATAAGCAAAAATAAATTGTGGTATTTTGACATAAATCCTACTTCAAATTATCCTGACAAGGATGTTTTATCTATGCTTTACAAAAATGTTACAAACTACATGTACTTACCTTGAGTGAGCAGAACATCCTCCGTTGCTGTTCGTGCGGACTCATACCCCCGATGGCTTCCACAAAGCCTCCACGTTCCACGGCACTGGCTGATCGGGGCTTGGTCACCAGTGCCTCGTTGCTGGAGTGTTCCGACATCATGCGCCGGTACTCTGCGGCGCTCTCAAAGGAACCCCGCCTCAAGTTCTGCTCTGTCCACTTCCACTGGTGCCGGTCCAGGTAGCACTGGGGATGGACATCAAAGTGGTTCTCTTGGAGGCACTCGCAGTTCCTGCAGTTGCAGATCCCACTTCTGCCACCGTTTAGTAGAGAGTGGACCTTCTCGTCTTCGTCCTCAGCGTACCCATAGTCCATCGAGACATCTTCTTCGTAAACATAGTCAGTCTCGGGACCCATAAGGGTGAAGTAGACAGCGGTACCGCCTTCCTGTTTAAGGCGTGCCACCGCTTGACGGAGTTCTTCCCGCTGATGCGGGTCTTGGACCCCAATGGCGTCCATGTCCTCTTCCCCGATCTGCTTGCAGGTCTCCAGATCGTCATAGCCATTGTCAATGAAATCATCCAAGTGGTGGGACAGGTCTAGGGTTCGAAGCCACTCACGGACGATGTTGTTCTCTGGATCTGCCATTGTGCTGTGTATTATCACAGCAGTGCCGGTGCAACTTCTTGAAATCTTAAGCCTGATTCTTTTTTGATGCTGGTTTTTGGATCTGTCTTCAATATGTGACTGATGAGCTATGCATGCAATGCTGAAATGAAAACAATCCTTCATCATGAGAGAAAATAGGTCATTTTCAGGGGGGGGGGTGTTCAGGCATTTTTTTCAGAAAGCAAAGCTGTGAACTTTCAGCAAATATTTGTCGTATGACAAAAGGTTTCCTAATGAAAAAATAACCTTTAAAGTATTCAACAATAAAAAATAAAGAGCACTTCAACACATTTTCCTTCCTGAATTTCAATACGATTGCCAATTTGTGAAAGTGTCCACAACATAAAATAAATTGGCATGTTATCCTCTTCCTGGTTTACGAAAAATGCCACAGGGAAGGTCCATGCACTTTTAAGTACATTTCCTGATGCTATATGATGTAAATTAATTACGAAAACAGGACGCAACAGCAAACTTTTCTGCCATCTGTCAGTGTCATTTTCATGAAATTAAAATATTGAATTAAAAATTATGAAATTAGCAAAAATATAACAAAACTCAATCCAACCTAACTCATAAACTAGCAATTACTTTTACATGGTAGTAAATATACTGTCTAAATTTGATAAGCAGCAGATATGGACTGAACTTATGGTTCTCAAAAATTTGGAAACCGCACATTTTTGAGGGTGTTTTTCAACAAACGCTGTAGTGTAGTGTTGAAAATGTCAATGTTCTGGCAGTGGCAACTACAACTTCAATTCAATAAAATTCGGCCACTTCACGAAGCACGGGGTCCCTAATGTGTTGTGGGCAGACATTGGAGTGTGAGAAGTGAATGATTACTTCTTGTATTACATGTGTACAATCGTTGTCAAGAACATCTCCCGATGACACATCGTGGCCACATGTCATTTTGTGCTATTCCACTTAAGGCCTACTCCGGCCGTACACGAAACGGTAAACAGTGCAGTAATTACAATTGACAAAATCTTCCCCCAAAACACCAAAACCTTACCGACCACGCTACCCAGGAAGACTTACCTGAATGGGAGCTAGGCAGGAAATCGTTGGATGCTGGATTACTTCCCCTGACAAGGGCTGATGGTGGAATTTCTGCGTGATATTTTCTCGTCCATGACAGATTCGGATGCGCACGTTACAACTGCACACTGCGTACCGCGATATGCACCGTGTACGAATAACGACAGCATACATATCAGCAGCAGCATGATGATCATGAATGGACGGCTGGCTGTCCAAAACATCAAGACCCCAACCCTACGACTGTTCTATGTTTTATAATATTTCAAGCTAATAATTCTTTTGCTTTAATAAAAATGTGTTGTTTTTCTTCTCATATGTCTCGTCATTTGCAATTGTATAATTTAATTCGATTGAAGCGATCAAATTAGACCCCAATTTCCGACGTCTCAGACCAAGCCCCGCCCACTCCGGTGACTTATGTTAACTCTCAAACCGACAAAATAGTCGTCTGATGGACGGCCGCCAGCGATGACGTCACTGCTTGGGATTCCCTCCTGTGTGTTATGTGAAGTGCTAGTATTTGGGCATTTTTTTCGAGTGAGCCCGACTACAAAAAAAAACTGTGAACAGATCCGCACTGCACTTTGGCACTGTTCGATACAATTTCAAAGGTGTTGACAATGGTGTTTGTGTTGACTCATATATGCTTTGTTTCAAAGTGTTAGTAATGGATGAGTAATACAATACGAGGTGTGAATTTTAAATTCCTTTGTACTACTGAAATTACATACACCTGCAAAATTATCCACAAGTAAACAGCGCCACCATGTGCTCTTATAGTTTTCAAGTAATACATGCCATTATCTGAATAATGGCATCCACATTTCAGCACAAGATACCCAGACTGAGAAAATTTATTTTGTTAATATTAGGTGACAGACGAATAGTAAACATCACTTCTTTTTTCACAAAATAAATAATGAGACCAAAGAAAAGCGGTTACATGCAAACCACTGTGTCTGAACAGCGCCCTCTGTACGAGCAAGTTTTGGAGCCAACATTATTTTTTTGTGGAACAAAATATAGCTCCCTCTGTTGGACAACAAACATCACACTTTGCATCGCAAACTTGACGAGAGCACCGAATTAAAAGCGTCCTTTATTTCAAGTATATCTGGCATTCTTCCCACACATGGTTTTTAACCCAAAACTACTTCCGGGCCATTCTATAAATTTGAGGTCCAAAAGTGTGGCATTTTGGTGTCCCTGTTTCACCCGACCTGTGTGTAATTTGACATGGAAATATCATTGAAATTGACTTCAAACTATTTGTATTTGTTTAGCAGGCATTTGGCATTACATAATCACTCTTGGAGGCAGAAGACATTAAAGAATGTGTTCTGAATTTACAAAATCTTATCTCAGATGTGACAGGGACACCCCAAAAAAAATTGGACCCCAAATTCACAGAACTATCCTTTGGCCAAACCCATCCACACTGCACCTGGGGTGTGTGGTGTGAGGCAAACACATATGTTGGCTGGTCACGTGACACTTGGCATTGAAAGATGTAGCCCTATAATTGCTCTATTTTTGAAAATGGCGATGGGCATCAGGACTTATTTTAGGGGTGATCAATCTTTGGATAGAATCTTCCCCCAAAAGTCGTTGGTAACCCCCCCCCCCCCCCCAAAAAGAACAGAAAATAAAAGATGACGAAATAATTTTTAATTTAGTTTCTCAAATGGAGAGTTGTATTTTTCCTGAATATTGGAAGTGGGGTATTTACCACTGGAGTCTTCGGTGGCTTATTTACTGGTCTGCAAACATATCGTTCAACTTTAACACCACCAGACACTAGATGGCGCTGTTCATGGCAACCTATTTCGCAAGCAACCGATGAAGGGTACACGTACACCCCAGTGTAAACGATTCCCATAGACACCACTGTAAAATCCCCATACAGTACTTCAAAATTCCTTTTAAAAATACTCAGAACTCTCACAGGTGTTCAGGCTGCACAGAAACATGATGATCAACATGTCATCTTTCATTTTCTTTTCAAGTTTTGGTGGGTTGATCGACCATTTACTTTTTGGAGAAATTCTCACGCAAAGAAGACCACCCCTAAACGAATGATGTTTCCAAAACTGGAAAAGTAGCCATTTTCAAAAAGGATCCCTCCACAACATGGTTAAATAGCGCCACTTTCGGACCCATTGCATCCAAAATGCTCAGATTTGGAAGCCCCAAGCCCAGGCCAGAGGTGTAGTTCCATATGTCGTTAATTTATTCCCCGATTCCATGGCTCTCAGAACTCTCTAATATGGAATAATTTGAGTGTATAACTTTTATTCATGAGCTCGGCAGACGGATTTTTGGCCTAACTATTGGGGTGTAACCTGCAACGATTTCTAAGTTTTTGAGCGGTCCTTACCATCACCCTAAATATTTTTTTTAATTAATAATGAAACTCACAACAGACTCTTCATTAGGATTTTCATGAAAAGGTTTAATATAACTGAATCGTTAAAAGTTGTACAACAAAAAGAATTATGAGGCACAATGATTTATACAAACAGTGATCATGGTTTGGCTGAACCTGTACTTTCCCCCACATGCTAATATATATTTCTTTCTGGCTAAATACTACAAACGCTAATGCTACAATTGAAATGGACTAAATGTAATGGCGACGTATAACGGAAACTTAGCATGTTGTCGAAGCGTTGCCAAAAACAGTATAAATTCTCATCCAAAGCGTCGGAATTCTTCCGTTTAAGAAAAGAAATACTTTCGTGATTGGTTCAAACATTTACTTAAAATGTACAATTTAGTGTTCTTTAAAATACAATATTAAAGTTGGAGGTTCGTTTGGTTGAAAGAATCTTTCTTTAAAAAAAGGACGTATTTTGAAATCGAGGTTGGACTGGTTTTTAGGTCGTCAAACAAAATCAAAGCTTATATAAACATTTCACTTTAACGAGTTGACCCGTTTATACAAGACTACTTTGATTGGTCCAAGATTTGAGAACACGCACTCTAAGGAAAGAATCGACCAATCAGGAACAGTGGTCGAGCTGTTAGGCAAATTATGTATACTTGGAACACATTGCTCTATTTTAGCACACTCATTTTCTGATAACGAGAATTCGCTCACAGGTAATGAGAATGGTCTGAATGCATGTTTACAAAGATTTTACATAATACTCGTCTAAAAAAAACCACTATAAGTGTAGATCGAGTGTAGCTATTTCTTCCATATCACTGTATAATACATGTGATCTCTGAATTATCACAGATTATAAATTCCAGAAAAAAGCACAATTACATGCAATGTTTCCAACTAATCACCCCGCATGTTTGCGCGATTAAGAATCAGTTGGAAGATAAATCATTAATGCCAACGTGGAAGATTATAGCGAGAATCATAAGCAGGCTTAATGCGAACTAACAATTTGTGCCTGGGGATGGATAACCGTTGGTAATTTTAACAATAAACAAGGAAATTATAGGTTTTTTTCTCAATAACGGTCAGCACATTGCTTTATCATTTACCCATCTCAGCATAATTGAATGGCTCATCATTCAACGTACATTTAACTGAAGTATTAACTGAAATCCGTAACCGCAATTCCAGCCGTCCGTACAACTACAAACTAGTCTCATTGTGAAAAAGACGCACAAGTTCCCTGAGCGATCCCTCGAATTTAGTCTCTTTTCTTAAAATATATATAAAAACCCTGAGATCATATTTTTCTTTAAGACAAAAATCGTCTGGTGTTTTACAGTACAAAAATACAAAATTCCTCTTCCATTTTTTTCCCTGGTATATTTTTTTTGTTACACATTATTTTTTTTACTAGCATTCGCCTTCCGTCCCAATCCAAAATAGACGACTGTTTCATTAAGGAAAAATACAATGGAAAAACATGCTATGAAACTGAAACGTCATTCTACTGATGTGAGTGGCTTTCCGATTTCATTTACTCTACAGAAAGACCAATTGTATTACTTTTCATGGGAATGACTTCCTAATCGGTCAACAATAAAGTTAGTCTGAGTATCACCTGTTGTCCAATACGGAGCCCTCTCCGTAACAAAAGTGTGATATTATCTGGCGCCAGCCAATCGGAGTCGACTTTAGAAATTGTGACGTCATTTCGATCAGAAGTGTGCACTAAATTCTTCACTGGTCGATTTGGTTGCCAATTTTGTTTTAATACAACAACGGGTCACGGAAGACTCGATGGAAGCCGCCCGCTGAATGGTCAGAATCTCGAGGTCAAGACACAGTCTTGTTTTGCATAAAATTAATCGCCAAATCTGCTCGCATATCGTATCACCGGCCCTTGCTTTGCAATGGGATGATATCCCATAGACTAGAATTCACTATGCAAACTTACAAATCTCTGTGACAGGTATAATTTTGGGACACTTTGGTAATCATAAGCGTGCATATTACCTTCAAACCTAAAAAAAAAACCGTTTAGGGTTAATTTGACCAAAACATTAGAATACAAGTAGCTATGGCATAATTATTTCAACTTTTGGCTAAAACATTACAAATTTCGGATAAAAATTGATTAAAAAAAAACCTTTCTTAAACCTCTCGACGTGTGCAGGAATGAGGAATACAACTAGTGCTTAATGTTAAAAGAAATTAACATCTTTTCTGAGAGGTAAATATTACTTCTTCTTTTTTCTTGCAGCAACTTTTTGTAATGAATATATATTCCAGACTATCATTCTGTAGCTAAACTGGCGAGGTATTTTGAGGGGGAAAACATTAAAATATTTCCATAAAACAACGAAGTAAGAAAATCAAAATAACAACAGATCAGTGATCTGGAGAAAAAAAAACTTACAAGTGCCAAATAATGTTGAAAACATAAACTCTAACTAAACTGTAAAGACTTTTCTTGTCGAAAAGCTCCGCAGATTCGTGCAGATTTGTCGAGAAAATATTTGTACATGGAAAAGAATTCCTTTGTTTTTTTTACGATTATACACTTCATAAAAAAAAGAAGTAAGACAGAAACTGGTACATGTGTTGGCAACATAGAACTGTCGAAACGCATGGTTTCACTTTTGTCTTGAACTTAAAATCTGCAAAAACAATTCAGGTTAAGTTATTATGCGCGTGTGTGGAAGCAACTTCTCTGCATCTTCTGCGCATGCACGCACACATGCGCATTTTTACCGAAGACATTCAAAGAAAAGAAGCAGGGAAAAAAACACGTAACAGCACTCACGAAAGCCGGCTAGTATCATTGGCTACGATTTGAAGGATAAAAATGGACATTACGCCTTAAATATATGTTGTTTGTCTGCTAAACACTCTTTTCTTACTGATAATTTTTTTTTTGAGTTTTTCTCTTAAACAAACTAACAGCGGAAGGTAATTCAAATCAATGGGCCTTATTCATCAGTTGGCCATTTTTGTTGAGTTCCCTGAACATATATCATTGATTCTTAACTGTTGAATGGGATGCACCAGACTATTTTTGCAGGCATAATGCAGCCTTTTTTTTAATGTCATTTTGTTTATAAAATCTGGCTTTAAACATTAGGGAACGTTTAATTACAAATTTTAAATTATTCATTGAAGCGGACTGGAATTAATTAGTAATTAACTTGCTTTCATTTCTCTACACAAGTTCCAAAAATGAAGATTTTACCTCACTCTCAATCCAATATGGCCGATTCATGAATAAAGGCCTATCTACTTAAAAAAAAATTACCGCATGTTTAATACATATAGAGGGCGCTATTCTGCATATTCAGAAAATGGTTAAAACGTGGACAGAATCTTACGTGGTCAACATTCAACATAATACTGTATTTTGGCTTAAAACTTTACAAATAAGCAATGGTTATTTTTACTTTGATTTTTATCAGCTCAATTTCTTGTTCTCATTCTTATCGACGAATCTTTTACCTGGGAATCCAAAGATACGCTGTGCTTATGAAACCGAGACTTGGGCAAAAAGGGACCGAACGTGGGTGAAAAACTATCCTACTTTTCTTAAAGGTTAGTAAGTTGCTTTTAATAATCCTACAAATATCTAAACGAAAAGTGCATAAAAACACCCGTATTTAATAAGAATGGACATTTATACAAAAAAACTTCAATACTTCAGCAGCTTCAAGTGATCATTTTAAAATGTAGCCCATCCATGTCGCTTGGATGCATCCTTACCCCAAAAAATCCTCAATTAATCCAATCAAAATTAGGTCACCACTACATTATCAACCCAACCATCGCTTGTCCCTCTACAAAAACTAATTCAAGAAGCCGAATCGTTCGCTTTTAAAACAAAACACAACAAGAAAAAATGCACCGTTTTGAAAGTCAACCTGAGTTTGTTTGTTTTTTTCTTCATAAAAAAAACTTATCGCTCAATCCTACCAAAAGAGGGCGCTGTTCTACTAGCTTGTACCGCCACCACCACCACCGCTATCTGAGGTTGTCGCTGTCGCTGATGTTGTTGAGGTATGTGGTTGACCCGTGCTGTCGCCGTTGCCGCCGGCGTCGCCGTCGTCGTCGCCGCCGGCGTCGCCGCTGCCGCTCTGGCCGCTATCGGTGGATTTGGCACCATTTCCCTGAGAGCTTTGAGCCGGTTTGTCGGGGCAGTCCGCCACCAGGTGGTCCTCGGACTTACAGTGGTGGCAGCGTTTGGGTAAGGGGGGCTCGGGGCAGTTCTTGGCGTGGTGGCCGTGCTCGTTACAATTGTAACATCTGGATGGGAAAAAAATTCATTCGAATTGGCAAATCGAGCTTTCACTCGCACATGCGCAAAACCTACATGCCATCTTTCCTATCACGCTCAACCTCTGTCCCATGGTGTCGAACCCACAGGGTGGATTAAAAAAAACGAAACCAAGATAATATTGCTAATTGGAACAGAAGTAGGGCACATGTGAATCAAAGGGAGATATCCTCTGTTAGGGTTGAATCTCCTCTGTAAAATGACACCCTGATCATGTCATTACATTCACAGTTGACTGGGCAGTGACAAATTTTAGGAAAGAGACTTGCGCCACTTTTCATGGTGAAATCTGTTTTTCCCCCACCTGCCTTGATTGGCAACCATAACTTTTCACTCTGTGACAATGACAAAACAAAAACCACAATTGAAAAGTGGCGCAATTCTCTAAATAGACCCTTTCATAAAATTGGTCACTGCTCAGTCAACCGTGATTGTAATGACATGGGGAGAGGCAAGTGGGGATGAAGTGACTCGCCCAAGGATACAACATTATGACCAGCAGCTGAATTCGAACCCCTGACTCTCTGATCATGAGTCACAAACCACTAGGCCACACTCCACGAGAAGTATATACGTTTTCAATGCCTGCTCCCAGGAAACACAGTTGAAAATAAGGTAACCCTGAAGACGAGGTTGGCTATCACTGTTCACTCAGCCACAGAGGCCCTCAATGGCGAAAATATTGTGCCATAATTGTTTAGATCATCCTTCATAGGCGGTTGCTTTGTACAATTATAACTTGTACAATGCTTTCGCTATTGGAAACATTTTGAAATATTGCCAAGGATTTAGGAAAGCACAACTACAAGCACAGCTGCCATAAGCTTTGATGATACAGGCATTGATGACACAAACATTGGGAAGGATCTAATCTCAAAGAACAAGCTTTACCATTTCACACCTAAAAAAAAAATAGTGTACCCAAAAAAGTTAATACCTGTCGTCTTTTCTGCGATTGCCTCTGCCTTTCCGCTTGCTTCCTTTACAACACACGCCCCCGGGGCCAGTCACCGACTCCGCCTCTCTGCCTTTGTCTGAGATCTTAAAGACAAATTCCACCTCTTCGTTGACATCCAGGCTCCGGAAACCGGCCATGTCTATACTCGACTGAAAAAGAAAGAGAAAAAAAAACATTATACGGACTTGTAAATTGGACTTTATTCTCATGGGTAATTTTTTATGATTCAAAAGAGCGTCGCTCCGAAGACTTTTTTGATCAGCAACCTTTTTCTTTTGGCAACATAAAAAACGTGCCTAAATTATCAAATTTAGGGACTGCATTAGGGTGTTGTCGGCGTGTTTATTTGTAGGCTTAGCTGTCATTTTTTTTTGGCTCCACTCCAAATCCCAAACTACCAATCAAAAAGACCAAAGGTTATTCAGCCATTAAAATTTGTGTACAACGAAAATACATAATTGCGAGTACATAATCAGCTCTGGCCGTGTTGCAAGAAGTCTTGCATGAAATCGATCAAAATGATCCCTGCCAGGGCTAAAAAATGCGACGCCGAAAAATACGACGCCGATGGCACATATGGAACACCATACTGTTGGTCAATTTTGACATGTATACGCTCCTATACTATAGAAAAAATAGCAACATAGAGTGCATTGGACATAAGGCGAACGGTATAGGGCGGTTGACTTTGTTTTTTTCCCAGCTCATGTTATTATATTAACTTTCATGTCTTTTTTTTGTCAGATTCATGTGTCACCGATATTGCAACCCAAATTGAATGCGTTCTAATGGTCCAATCTACGACCGCCATTTGCTTTTAAAATTTGAAGAAGAAAAAAATCATGGAATGATATTTATACCAGAGGGACAAAATAGGCGTATGAAGTCCCAAACTGACCAAAATAATTCTCTTTGTATTAAATGAATCATATCTGTCAACAACATTTATGTATGCGCGTGTTTTTTTCGCAGGTGATAACATCGTTTTATTGACAGGCATTGTTTAGTTTTGAGTGCAGCATCACAGAAGTTGGCTCTGGTCCAAAAAAACACCAAGCAGAAGAGACAAATCAACTGCGAGTGCAGTTTTGAGTTGATTGGTTGTCATCTTCCCAAACCTTTATCTCAGAGACCAATGGTCACTTTTGATAAACACTGCCCGGCCGCGATTATCACTTCCTATCGCATTGACCTTTTAAACTGCTCACACGTGCACCGTGCCGTAGAGGGCGCTGCCCTTCGCAACGGGTTGCTCCATTGCTCAAGTTCAATGACATTTCAAGTTGGCCTATATACGCCATGCATTTTAATGTCATAGCATTCGTATACTCATGGGCATTGAGTACCCATGAGGACTTTGTTTTCAACAGCAAACAATCCCCCACGCGATAAATAAAAAAAAAAATCCCCAGATAACGCCATTTTGTGAATGAGGGTACTCGACTTTCGTACCGGAACGAACTTCGGTCTGCCTTTGTTGTTTAGTTGGTGTTCCAGGTCACTATAAAAACTTCCGCGTGCGCGAGTAGGTACGTGTCAACTTGTACCTCGCTGGAAATAAATATTCTAGAAAGTTCAACCTTCAACCCGGGAACCTTTTTTTTATTCGAAAGCAAACAATTGTTATTGTGAGCATATTTGTGGTATATCGTGGCTGTGGTGTATGGTAGACCTACATTTTGGTATGGATGATATTGTAGGGATCATAACGACGCATCGGAACTATAATCACATAATTGTATAATCTTGGAATTGAGACGTGTAATGAAATGAAGCAAGCCATCAAAACCAAAGTCCTATTCACAATTTTTTTTATTTCTTTAATATCCCCTTCCCGTGCCATGATGCACCCAGAATATTTAAATACCAGAGTCACTTTAAAAAAACACTTTGCTTACTAACCATCCCAAATCCTCCAAAATGCTCTTTGCAAATTGGAGGACTTTTCAGGACTGAGGCTTTATGGCAAAAGTGTGTTGCTCATTTCGGAGGACGCACTGTGTCAAGGTCTTGGGCCGGGTAATACTCGAAATCCTCCGTACTGCTCCAGGATGTCACTGGCTCTGCCTCAACATATTGACAGTGACTGCCGAAAGAGTTTGCAGGATTGAGGCAGTGGTCACCCCTCCATGTACCACACTCAAAGAAATAACGTGGGATTTTGCAGGATTGAGGCTATATGCTATTTCCACATGGAGACAGTTGGAGGATTTTGCAGGATTGAGGTTACATCCAAGCAAAAATGCCTAGGGAGTTTATAGGGTACCTATCCCACCGAAATATGAACTCCGTGAGGTGAAATTTATATTTTGATAGCCTACGTGATTTATTTCGGATTAAAAAAACAACAACATTTTTTCAGTTTTTGTCTTCTCAAAAGCCAATGAATTTGGTTCAGTACAGGGATCAAGTGGGAAAAGCTTTATTCATCGGATGTTGAAAGGCGCCATCAGTATCGCTTTGCAGAACCGTTTCTCACTTTTAAAAAGAGAAGTGAGGCAATTCGACAACACAGACCCATATAAGTTCAAAACTCAGCGGCAAATAACCTCTTTATTATTCCGTTCAACCCCGAATTTCCTTTTCGATAAAGGTCTTGGCAGTGCCCGCGGCTGGAGTAGAGGTTGTGGCTGTGTCATGAACCGCTGAAGACATACAGCACACCCCATTTTAAAGTTCAATGTCTTCACCAACGTGTTAAAAAAAAGGCGCGAACTCTACATGAACTCAGTCCCTGGCCGTCCTTCACCTCCAATGCTATGTCCAGCGAAAACCCCCTAAAACACGCAGTTGAAACGGCCCAAATAGGTCTCCTATTGTGCTCAAGCGGGGATTCAGGAGACTTGATTTCAAATTGGGGGATTGGTAACATTGAGGGGAACATTCTGTAAAAAGGTACTGTTGACACCATTTTTGCAACAATATTTAACATGGTTGTTATGTTGAATTCATATTACATGTACAAGCAATGAGAATTGCATTCTTTATTTTTTGAGCAGTAACTTAAAAAAGTGTTTCTTCTTAAAAAGAGTTTAGGCCCTATAACTTGAAAGGTATTTTTCAATCACTTTTCGATACACAAACCGTCTCAGGAAATGCCCCTCTTATTTTTTTAACAGGACATTGTTATCGGGGAGAGTCATGATGTATACGTGAGTTTATGGCGCCCAAAATGTCAAATACGAATATTTATAGGCTGGCAAATCTAACGTGAATGAAAGCATCAGGACGAAATAACACGAATTCCCTGGGGGAGTTTGGTGGTAAATAATTGTTGGTGAGGAAGAGGTTATCTGGAAATCCTGGAATTTTTGGCCCAGAACCAATTCGAGGGCCACCGAGTGTAGAAAAGATATTCATGTATCTTGACTGGATCGTGAACGGACGGATTTGCATAACTGCAACTTAAGTTATTCATTTTAGTTAAATTAACTTATTATAGGTGAAATGATTAGGCACAAGCGCGATCGGATATATCACGTGAATGTGCCAGGTAATTTCTGGAAGGAGTGGTGTTTTGAGTGAAACAAATTAGGTGTGTGACCCCAGTGACCCCATGATGACCTTTGACCCCGATTTGGTCATATGACATGTTGGGGCTGGGCTACTGATACTTTTCAAAAAAAGTTTGGTTGAAATCGGTCAAAATATGCAGTAGCAATAGACAAGGTCAAGTATGATGATTTGTCGAGCTGCTATCCCACAGCTATAAGTGAAGAAAGTTGTACATAGGTTGTCAATGAGATTGAACTACATGTATCATCAAAAAGATGTGCAAGCCCAGACCCCAACAACGATTTTAAAAGGTTAGTTAAAGACTTAGTGGCTGAAGAAAATAGGCCTATATCCAGCAAGGCCATGAATAATTATATATTTGCCGGTGTGACAGGTAATTCTGTCCCCCCCTGGTAAATGTGTCCCCCGGACACATTTACCGGCTCGTGACCCGGTAAATGTGTCCGGGGGGACACTTTTACCTAGGTAAATTTGTCCCCCTCCAGGTAAAAATGTCCCCCTGCCCAACGGTGAAAGTGTCCCCCTGGTAAATGTGTCCCCAGCAGCAGCGTGTCGCACGCGCCAGTACATGCTGCAAGATTTGAGGCAGTGATTATAACATGTGTACATTATGCGTCTCCCTCTACAATGGAAATTCGTCCAATAGGAAATTTCGTTACGCGCTATGATGGGAACACAGACCAATCCAAGGAGACGTTGTATCATACTATCAATGAGACAAGGGCCATCGCCATGCATCGCCGCTGTGTTGACCTATCGCGGTAGAATCGCGATAGACTTCACCGTACTCCGAATCGAAACATTGTGTTCACGGGACGTATCACCTAAGAGACTAAATTAAATATTTTTATATTCATGAAGGGCAGACTAAAAGTCCCAAATGTATACCTTGTAGAGTGAATTCATCAAAACAATAACCTTCCGGGTTTCAAAAGAGGGGGATTAAAAAACCTGGGGGACAGAATTACCTGGAGGGGACAGAATTACCTGGAGGGGGACAGAATTAACGGGCCAGGGAGGACACCTTTACCTAGGTAATTCTGTCCCCCCCCCCCAGACATTTTTACCGGGGGACAGAATTACCTTCCACACCGGTATGTCGAGTGTGCACATTATTACGAATAATGGACTTAGTACATGGGCAAAAGAGGGCGGTGTGCTCCATGAGCTGCGTGCGCATTCCTTCACTAAGATCGCGCAAGGCATTATGGGAACCAACATGGCGCAGCAAGGGCCAAGTTCGGGCAAGGACCATTAGTCGACTAGTGGTTGATTTGTGACGTACCTTACGCCTGCGCACTAATAGCAACGTGCGAACGTCTCTAGTCAAACGCTGGTCAAAATGTCATCGCAAAACTTCTGGATCCTGGCTCTCTGCTGGCGTTATGAATGCGCGCAGCTATTGGTTACCAGCGAAGCAACCAACCCCCATAGGCTGGTTCCAAATAGTCCACTAGCGTAGTCAACCACCGTCGACTAGACAGAGTTCGGGCAAACGTTAGTTAACCATTGGTCAACTATAGTCCTTGCGCGAACTTGGCCTAGATCATACCCATGGGGAACGAAGTTGAATATTATAGTCCAATAGTGGTTGATTTGTGACGTAACCTACGCCTGCGCACTAGTAATAGCA